AAATAAATAAATAAATAAAAGACTGACACTTAAAAAAAAAAAAAAAAAAAAGAAATTTTGGGGGGTTCTTTCTTAAAACAGTTGGTAAGACAGTTACTGTCCCAAGCATGACGGCCTGACCAAGTGCCATGGAGCTTACACTAGGGTGAGGGGACAGACAGTAGATAATGTTAACCTCCGTGTGTGTGTGTGTGTGTGTGTGTGTGTGTCCAAGGTGACTGCAACATCACACAAGATCCTTAGGGGATGCTGGCTGTGCAGGAGCATCAGAGCTGAGTTCTGGGGAGCAGCCAGCCACTTGGAGCTTCTGCAGATAAGCTAAACAAGCAGAAGCCAAGTATAAAGTTCTGGTGGTAGAAAAGGTCATGTGGTTGTTGAAGGAATGAAGGTGTGGTAGGGAAATCCTAAACCTCTATAAACAGAACAACTGAGTTGCAGTGATTGAGTTTGGAGAACACTGGGCGTGGGAGAAGATGAGCAATCAGCAGAGGAGATGTACGGTCAAGGCCAGGAGGGGAACCAGGAGTGTGGTTCTGGGAGTCGAGGCAAGAGAAGTTTTCAAGGACGAAATAGTCAAGGACAGTGAAGACTGGGAAAGGGTTTGGCCTCCACTTGCAAAAGGCTGGTTTCCTCCCCTGGCTCCCTATAAACTGATAAGGACAAGAGTCAATAGGGATGTGGGGATACTGAGGCAAGGAGGGTCTTCAATAGTGACCCCCTCCTAACAATTTTTCTTAGTATCTCTCTTTTAATATTTAGTATTTTCAGAAATGATTTTTTAAATGTTTTTATTTCATTAAATGTTTTTGTTTTATCAAAGTAATACATGAATTCCTAGGAGTGGAATTGTTGGGTCATATGGAAACTCCATTTTTAGTAGTTTGAGAATCCTCCTCACAGCTTTCCATAGTGGTTGGACCAGTTTGCACTCCCACCAGCAATGTAGAAGAGTTCCTTTTTCTCCACATCCTTGCCAACATTTGTTTCCTGTTTTTTTAATATGTGCCATTCTTGCTGGTATAAGGTGACATCTCATTGTGGTTTTGATTTGCATTTAAAAATTCATAATAGGGGCCTCCCCAGTGGCGCAGCGGTTGAGCGCTGGGTTGCGAGGCTGCCCGCAGCCTCTGCAGTGCTGGTTCGATCCCCGGCTGCTCCCCGGCCACCGGAGGAGGGTCCCACATGGCGCGCAGGCCTCGCCTGCCACCCGCTGCTCCCCTCAGCAGTGCACTTTGGTCCTTCTGCCTGCTCTGCTCCAGCTCTGACTCTGGTGAATTCTCTCACCCTCCCGTGCTTCTAACTGTACCCAGTGCTTGTATAAATAAATAAATAAATAAATAAATAAATAAATAAATAAATCTTTTAAAAAATTCATAATAGTAAAAAATTAATACATGAAGATGGTCAAAAATTCAAATAGCATAAAAGGGCTACCAATGAAAATCAGTGCCCTGCCTTATCCATTCCCATTTCTGATTTTTATCCTCCTTTTTTAGCTGGTGATCATATTAATAGTTACCTTCAACTGAATAAACAAACCCCATTATTTTCTGGGGCAATAACTATTTAGATCTTTTCTTTGAAGAAATTGTGTACTAATCCACATTCTTTATATATTATAGATGTGAATATTTTTTGTTGGATATCTATATTGCAAATATCTTCCAATCTGACCTTGCTTTTTTCGTTCTCTTAATGATTTCTTTTGATAAATGAAAATTCTTATTTTTAAGGAGGTCTAATTTACCAGTTTTTTTTATGACTACTCTTCTTTGTCCTATTTTTAAACATCTTTGCCTATCTCAAAGTCATGAAGATAAACTTCTCTATTTTCTCCTAAAAATTTACTGTTTTAATTTTCACATTTAAGTATTTTGGCATGATGTGAGAGAGGGGGTCAGTTTTCTTTTTTATCCTCTTTAAGGATATTCAATTAACCTCGCACACTTAATTGAAAAAAAAAATCCTTTCCTCATAAGTTGTACTGGAGCCTTTGTCATAAATCAGATGGCCATATATGTACAAGTCTGTTAATATGTCTTCTTAAAATATTATTACACACACCAAAAAAACCCCACCAAAAATATTATTACAATCTTTACAAAGATTTTTTTATGGTGTACATAATTTTTTCAAGCCTGCATAATATTTTATAGGGTTGTTTACCTATTCCAATGTTGTTGGGCATTTACATTGTTTTTAATATAGGCCTGCTAGTCAATAATACCACAAAAATTATCTTTCACCAGAATAATATCATTGTTATTTTGCTCTTTTCTGACCATGAGGTAGGTAAACTATTTCCACACATGTCCTGAATATTAGTATCATTATCCCAATTGCAGGGCCTTCTGTTTTTGTTACCAACTTCTTTCTGTAATAAACATCTTAAACTTGAGTACACATTTGCTGCCTGATTTCTTTTAACATTCAGCAATATTAAACTCTTTATATCGAATTTGAGTCACTCTCTGTGATTTCTTAATTGCTTAGGAGCAAAAAGCTTAGGAAGTTCTTCTTGCTCCAAAGTCTTGATTAAAAGACAATTCTCCCTTTTTTAATTTCTCTGATTTTTTTCCCTACTTGATTTTTGAAGACTTATCTCTTTCCATGTCCGGAAATATGGGAAATTTTTTGATATATTTTATATATTTCTCCATAATTTTAAATATCCATTTTTTTGAAGATGAAATTTTGCCATTTACAACAACATGAATTGAACTGAAGGGAATTATGCTAAGTAAAATAACTCAGAACAAGAAAGACAAATATTGAATGATCTCACTCACTTATGGAATGTAAAGAAACAAAGCAAAGGGACAAAACTGAACCAAAATAAACTAGAAATCTGACTGCAGGACTGAGGCAACCAGAGGGAGAGAGCAAGGGGTGAGCAGCCAAGGGGGAAGGGGACCCAATGGATTATTGGTGTCTTGGTGGTAGACATGGTGTGGGAACATCTGAAGAGGTGTTACCTATACCCTTAAGTCTTTACAATGTTTCCTCAATAAAACAAAAAATTTTAACATTTTTAAATTTAAAAAAATTTAAATGAATGCATTTCTGCTGCATAAGGGTAAAATTGTGTAAAAAAAAATCCTTTGTGATATTTATATTTTAAAAGTTTCAAGGAGGAGGGCCTCTCTGGTGGCGCAGGCGGCTGAGCACCACACTGTGGAGCTGTCCACAGTCTCTGCAGTGCGGGTTCGATCCCAGTCGGCTGGGGAGAAACCCACATGGCACAGCAGACCTCTCCTGTCGCGCCCGCTGCTCCCCTCAGCAGTGCATTTCAGTCAGTCTGCCTGTTCTGTTCCCTGCTCTGTCTCTGGAGAATCCTCTCACCCTCCCGTGCATCTGGCCTGTACCCCTGTTCTTGTATAAATAAATAAATATTAAAAGAAAATTTCAAGGAGGAATAAATCCTTAATAAAGACTGCAACTAGTTTTTTAATATTCAGAATGTGCAGGACCCACTGGAGCAGTATCTGGAGAGGTTAATGAGAGGCAACAGAGCTAAATAGCACCAGCAATGCCACATTAGCAATTCAATCACTTAGAGGGCTGTATCATAACCAAGGGAGGAGTGGGTAGGAGAAAGAAAAAAATTGCATAACCCTGTCTTTTGTAGTCTGTGACAGGAAGGAAAAGTTTACCACTGACTTAATAGGTCCAGTTTGAGAGCTGGAATCCCAGGCCACCTTCCCCATGCCAGTTCCTCTAGATTGGTCATTAGACCCAGTTATGGTCAGAGGTAAGGGGTCCCCTGAGATAAAATACACAAAAAGTGTAAAAAACATGTGCCTTTAAATAAGAGCAACCTAGCTCAACGTGATAGTTTGACAAATTCACCTTTGTCCTGGTTGTTCCTTGATGACCCAGATGACATCAATTCAAGTCTTTACTGAACGGAGGTCTCTTTCCTGGTTTTGCTTTCAGCAGTAATGTCTCCCTCATTGAGCTGCCTGCAGTCATCAAAACATAGGTCATACTAGTCAATACATTCTTCATCCTTTACTACCAAAGTGGACTGGTCTCTGACAGCCTTCCTCTCCTCCTTCCCTCATCGAGCCAGTCAGGAGGTGGAAAGGAGAGGGTGTGCCAATTAGGAAAGAGTCTCAGATAAATGAGGGATCCAGCTTAGTCACTAAATACACAGAACCCTTTGTTTAAATCTTATTTTTGCATTGAGGAATCATGTGTTCAGAAACATGTTGTGACTATTTTTGCCTTTAGCAATGGTGAGGCCAGAACTGCTTCATCAGTGTCAAAATCTTTGTTATCCTCTGTCCACTATCATCAGGTGAGCTTGTTCAAAAAGCTGATCGGGGCCTATCCGGCAACCAAAGAAGCAGTACCTCGGAGGGTAGGGCTTGAACAGGTATTTTTTAACAACTTCCCAAATGGCTGCAATAAACACTAATGAGAACTACTGAACCACATTTAATGTAAGATTATGTGTGAGGCCAACATGGGTCAAATGTCCTTGGAGTCTTTATTTGTACCATTTCTCTTTTGTCCTTTCCTATTGCTCTTTCTAATAATGTCCCAGTTTCATGACACAATTTTTGAAATCAAATTTAAACATCTCTAAAGTATACCATAATTACATTCTGCTTCAATTATAATGTTAATTGATCCACTGTATCTGTTAGCATTAACACCTGGCATTGGATGCAGACGTGAATGTGCCTTGCTAACCTCTTAATATAAAAATTTTGTTAATTATGCAAAAACCTATTTGATATCTATACCCTGGTTCAAGAAAGCCTTACTATACCTAGAACAATTTGGTCTAGTTTCCCATCCAGCAGATTAACTGTTTCTTAGCCATATATTGGATACTCAAGGATTAGGGAAAAAAACATTCTTCTGCATAGACGAGGATCTAAAGCAGTAACAGGAAAGCAATTTAAGTGAGGATCTAAGTGAGGAAGCCCACATCCTCTCCCCACAGTTCCGACCTTCAGCTCACTGGAATCTGCCTTCTCTTTCCACTCTAGCATTGACCCCTGTGGAACTAGGCCTCACAGTCCTCCTGACCTTGCTTACTCTTGGCTCTGTTGCCATCTACATCGAGGATGCTGTCTACCTGTACAAGAACACCCTTTGTCCCATCAAGAGAAGGACTCTGCTCTGGAGTAGCTCCGCTCCCACGGTGAGGGCTTTGTAGCTTCCTTTTGGGAGGGACTGAAGAAGAGGCAGGGACCCTTTTGATAATTCCTCAAAACTCAGCAGCTCAAGTCTGCAAGGGCTGCCTGCCTCTACTTTAGTCGGGGACTTGTAATCGGATCTTCATTTGCAGTGAGGATCCCATGCTTAGAAGGCCAACAGCAGTAGGATGGGGTGTGAGATTCTTAGAGCCACAGAGATAGCTGGAGAACTTTCTCAGCCTACCAGCAACCACACTCACTAGTTCCCTTCCACAGAGGTGATGTTAAAAGTAAAATTCCTTTTTGTACAGGTAGAGCATGGGTCTGAAGAATATAAGGAAAGACTTTTTTTCCCCACAAGGTCATACATAGCTATACTCTTTATGTTGTAGGGCTTTTTAATTCATTGCCTAGTCTTTGGCTTACTCCCAGACATAAGATTGAACTTGTTTCTTTTGGTGATCCCTGCATGTCTGTTTGGATTGGAGAGTGGACCCCTTAATGTCCTTTCTTGACAGATGATATCTGCCTGGGCCATCTCAAGACAAAGATGCTCTAATAAAGGAAAGATTGCATCTTGATCCGTTTACTCCTAAGGAAGAACTTAACTACTCCTAGCCCATGAACATAGAATGAAACACTTCAAGACTCAAAGGGACTTACTTTAATTCTAGAAATAGAAGGAACTGACTGCTGAATTTTTTAAAATTTAGTGAATGCATTTAATTAGATCCTCCCCTCCCCCAGTCAGTCACTTTTAAGTAAAGGTGCCTCCGATGTTTAGGTTTGCTTCCCTGAGCCCTTGCTACAGTGTCAAGAGGGTGACTGCAAAGTCTTAGTTCCTTGCCCAACCAGCTTCTTCTTCCTCTACAAGTAGGTACTGTCTGTGTTCTGCTGCTTTGGTCTGTGGATCCCTCGCTCCCTCACACTGGTGGATATGGCCATAATCTCGTGAGTGTCCTGCCTGCCCTGCCTATGGGCTATGTATCCTTCTAGGGTTCTTTTTTGCTCCCTGTTTACCTAGGAATCCAGAGTTTACATCTTCTTTTATTCCCCATCCCTTCCATAAATCCAGTAAACCAACTGATCACAAATCTAACCCTTCCTAACTTATGCTAATCCAAGACTCTTGAACTTCAAATTCTGCTCAGAGAGTGCTTTATTTTGGCACGTTTCCAAGGCCAGAAATTCCCCTTTCTAGCCCCTGGACCTTGTCTTCTCTCCCTCCTCTTCGGTCACACATACAAATGCCTACTCCCTCCAGTGATCCCTTTTGTAAGCCTCACTTCTCCCTGCTCTTTGGCAGCAAAGGGATGTCCCCTCAGCAGGCCGCCACCTCCCCTCTCTGTACTCCCTGGACCACCTGTCCTTCCACCCCAGGTGTTATTCAGTGTACTTTTACCTGCTGATGCTGGTCATGGTGGAAGGCTTTGGTGGGAAGGAGGCAGTAATGAGGACATTGAAGGACACCCCAATGGCAGTCCAAACAGGCCCCTGCTGTTGCTGCTGCCCCTGTTGCCCGCGTCTTCACCTAACCAGGTAAGGCAGAAGAAGCATCCTTGAGGACAGTTTATCCTCTTCCTGCACACTCTCCCAAGAGCCTTTGCTGGCTTTCTCAGCCCTGTTTCAAGCCTCCTGAAGCAGGACATCTAGGATGCCCCCCATAAAGAGGCAAGCAAAGGAAGAATTCAAAAGTTCCCATCATTTAAGTTCACTGCTCCCTAAAATCACACAGAGCAAAATGGACTTTGGGCCATTTACTTGTCCTTTCTAGTAATGACATTGGGTCAGTACTTTAATAGTTCTTGCTCAAAAGGCAGCATTCTGATCTGGTAGTAAGTGGAGGCAAGGAGAGTTTTCAATACTCTTCACATTCTGGCTTCTTCCTATGTCCCCATTCACTTAGCCATTTTGGCTACTATGATGGCAGCCAAGTCTCTGCCAGGAGCCCAGGGAGGAAGCTGGGAAGTCTTTTCGGGATGGGTAGTTTGTGGAGCCACATTCCTTATCCCTCTTCTCTCCTCAGGAAGAAGCTTCAGCTGCTGATGTTGGGCCCGTTCCAGTATGCCTTCCTCCGGATAACGATGGGCCTAGTGGGCCTGTTTCTCACCCCTGATGGCATCTATGACCCAGCAGATGTAAGCCAGGAAGGGGGCAACAAACACTCATTTAGTACCTTTGAGCTCTAGAAAGTGTGGCTGGAGTCAGCAGTCCCTGACACAGGGCAGGGTGGTTGTGGTAAAGCTCAGAGACTTGGTGCTTAGAGAGAAAGGAAACTAGAATAAGCCAAAGCCTTACGGCTTTTCTTTTTTTTTTTTTTTTAAATTACCTTTCCACCATGGGAGAGGAGAAATAAAGGAAGAAAAAAGAACTTGCCTCCTTTACTAACTACTTTCTGGTCTATCACCAGATTTCTGAGAAAAGCACAGCTCTGTGGATCAACACAGTCCTTGGAGTGTCCACCCTGTTGGCTCTCTGGGCCCTGGGCATCGTTTTCCGTCAAGCCAGGCTGCACCTGGGTGAGCAGAACATAAAAGCCAAATTTGCTCTGTTCCAGGTAACTATACCCTTGGAAAGGGGAAAAAAAATAATAAAGATATAAATAATTGGGAGATGAGACTAATAAAGAACAAAAAACCTGGGAATCTTCTTTGTAAACCTCAGTTTTCCTGTGAGAATTAGAAAAGGAACTCTGTCCCTTCAATGTTTTTGCTTTTTTGTGTTATGGTAGTTTCCTAGGGCTGCTGTAACAAAATATCAAGCTTGGTATAGTTTAAAACAACAAAAATTTATTGTTGCACAGTTCTAGCGGCAAGAAGTCTGAAATCAGGTCATCAGTGGGGCCAGTCTTTCTCTGAACCTGTAGGAGAGAATTCTTGCTTGCCTCTTCCTGGCTCCTGGTGGCTGGCCAGACGTCCTTGGCTTGTAGCTGCATCACTCCAATTTCTGCCTCCAGTCTCACATGGCATTCTCCCCTTGTGTGCTTGTGCCTTTGTCTCTTTTCCTCTTCTTAGAAGGATACCAGCTATACTGGAATACTTCAGTATTACTTAATCTTAACTAATTATACTTAATTAGTTAACCAAAACAATGCTGCTGTTTCCAAATAAGGTCACATCTGAGGTACAAGGGGTGAGGGGGGGCGTGTGGGGGTTGGGATTTCAACATATCTTGGGAGGGGCGGATGACACAATTCAACCTATAATTCACATTTTATCAAACCTTAAATTCATCTATTTTTGTTTTTTCCTTTTACTTCCTAAAATTCTACAATCTAAATCCATCAGCAGCATCAGTATTATTACATCTACAACTATGAACTACCATGTTCTAGGCATTTTTTACACATTGTGTTTAAATTATCACAATAATCTTAGGAGTCATTATTAGTTCTCTTTTACAAATGAGGAAACTGAGAACCAGAGATGTTATAGGACTTGCTTGAAAGCACATAAAGGATAGAATTTAAGAGTAAATTAAGAGGAGAATCTGAAATGGAGAGGCAGGAAATGAAGGGCAGAAATGATCTGGGCCCTAAAAGCACTTACAGTCAGGCCCCAGGATAAGTCCTGTGATTGTCAAGCCTGTCCATGACCACTGTGAGGAATAATGGACAAGGCTCTGCCTTAAAGAGGCTGATATGTTAGGAAAGTATATTCAGGGAGGGCAAGTACTAAGACAAATGGTGCTCCCGAGGCTTTTGGACAGATAATTTCTTTTTTTCCTTCTCTTCATTGTAGTACAATATATGCAGCAAATTTTACCATTTTAAGTGTACAGTCAGTGGCATTAGGTGCATTCACATTGTCATACAATCATTACCACCATCCGTTTCTAAGACTTTTTCATTTTCCCTAATAGAAACTTTGTACCCATTGAATACTAATCCCCATCCTGCTCTATGTCCCCAGTCTCTGTTATGGTAGAGATTTTTCAAAGAGCACTTTACTAGTTAATCACCCATCATTCTAGGGAGGAATTTTAGGGACTGGAGCAAGCTGGAATGACTCTCTAATCATCTACCCTTTTCATCCATTAAGTGCTCATTAGTAGTAATGATTGAGTAGGGAAATGAAAAATGACTCCTTAATCATTTCTTATTGTTTCTTATCAGGAACTCTCATAAAATATTGGAGAGACATTGATATTGTAATTTGCCTAAAGATTTGAAAACTCCACAATGTTTAGCCAAGTGTGAGTCTCAACCCTCTACAGCTGCACAAATCTAATGGTCTGCCAAACATACAGTGGAAGGATGAGCGAGACAGTGGGTAGGCTAGCCTCTGTGCCATGGATGCTAGGCCCACCCTGCCTTCGCCTCTCTTTTGTCTGCAGGTACTCCTCATCCTATCTGCCGTGCAGCCAGCCATCCTCTCAATCTTGGCCAGTAATGGGCAGATTGCTTGTTCGCCTCCCTTTTCCTCTAAAATCAGGTCTCAAGGTGAGTAAATGAGTTCTTGTAAGTACAGGTGAGAGGAAGAGGGTCAGGGAAAAGATTGGGTCAGAATATACACAAAGGGATCTCCAAGAAATTTCAGCAGAAACTGTAGGAGATTGTGACCTCTCAAATCATACAGAGAAGAGCTGCAATCACATAGCTTGAGACTAGCCCTGAGGCCCAACCCAGGCAGCAAAGGCTTTAATCCTCAGCTCCTGGGAAAGCAACAGGTATGCTTAAGAAGCAGAAAGTCATACAGATAAAGGACATGAGGTTTAAATCTAGCTTCAGATTGCAGAAGGTCCAGATCTGGCTTGACCATTCGTCTGCTGTTAACTTATGACAACTTAATATCCATTAAGTCCTGATTTAAGAATCAATTGGAAATCAAAAGGGCTGAGTGCAATACCACCTCTAAAATTTAGCATAACTTACTTTGTATTTCACCCCACACTGCAGTGATGAGTTGCCATCTCCTCATAGTGGAGACTTTTCTGATGACTGTGCTGACTCGAATGTACTACAGAAGGAAAGACAACAAGGTTGGATATGAACCTTTCTCTTCTCCAGACTTGGATTTGAACTGCAAAGCCTGAGGTGGATGACTTGAACAATCAAAGAGACATGTACTTATTAGTCAAATACAAGATTTCACTGTCCCTCAACCTAGACAAAATAGGGAAGGATTCCATTGCCAGCAGAAGCTGCGATATTACGTTTGGCATCTACAAAGGTGAATTTATGCAAAAGTATGGAATTGTCTGGGACCTTGCCCAGGGGAGGTATTTTAGATTTTTTAATAAACAGGAAGGAGTTTGAAAAATAACTGGACACATTGTCTCTGTGGGTGCCACTGTTAGCCCTGTAAAGCTCATACACTGAAAGGTCACTGAGCTTTCCCAAAGCCAGTGTAAGGGGGAAGAGTATATGGCTGGTTGTCTGGCATAAGAACAGGAGTAGAACTCAGCCAGGCATATTAGTACCAGCTCAAAGTCTTAAAGAAACCAAGCTTCTCAGAAGCTATATCAGAAGTCACTAGGGTCCTGATGACGTTAGACCTGGGAAATCTGGACCAGCCTCCTTTTGTGGGACTACAGGTTTTGAGTCTCCTGTGTCAAACTGCAAAAGAAATTCCTTGATAATACGCTCATGGAGCTTGATTTCGAGGAGACAAAATGAGGATACAAAAGCAAAGGAACTGAGACACAGGTAAAGAACCCAAATGTATAAAACATACACACATGTATACCACACATCAAAAACACAGGAAATGAAACATTAGGTAAAACCACTTTCTTTTTATTTGGCTAAAGGACAAAAGCCAAAATAAAACTGAACGAATTAATAACTCAGACGGGAAAATGATATACTGAACACCAATTGAGGAAAAATGCCCCCTGGACACCGGCACTGGTGATATGGCTAATATTCATGCTAAAGCCAGAATTTCTTTCCAATATCTCCCCCCACTCCCCCAGGATCCTCAATACAAAACAACCCAAACTAAGTCTCTGTGTCCCAAACAGTCAGTGCTCCGAAAGAAGGTGGGGAGGGGGGGGTGGAAGCTCATTTTAAATCTAAAGGAAAACAACCTGAGTTATCCTATCACTAAACCTGGCACTTTAGTTTTCTAACCCAATCTGAGTACTAACAAAAAACTTTGGCAGAGAGAAAAATCTTACTTTTTTAAGAAAATTAACATTTAATATTATGATCCCAAGAACATGTTCTAATTATTTGGAAAAATAGAAGCTAGGGACTACTCTTTATCCCCTGACAATCTAGTCTATAAAAGAAAACAAGAGCAATCATTGTATGATTTTGAAAAATATAACCTTTAAAAATACTTACACTGGTAAGTTAAAAAAAATACCATTAGTTAAAAATATTGTTAAGGAAGATTTTTCCTATCTGTATTTGTTCAACTTCCGGTGGGAGTGTTTGCTGACAGAAAATTTAGACACTATGGCTTTAAGGTAATCAAAGTAACAGAATATAATTGATTTGCAGAGATTTTAGATATAGGATTAAAAAGGCAATGAACTCTGGAAAAACAGAAGTTACCAACAAAATCAAAATGATCTAGGAGGAGTAACTAAAGCACTTTGAAAAACCACTGTGGCACGAATACCCAGAAACTGCCTGACCAGCTAATTGTATGTTCACAAGTAAAACAATAAAAGCGTAATTCAGGTGCTGCCTAAGAAGTTATCAACAATCACAAAAGATCAAAAGTTCTCTACACCTCCCTCATATTTTTTCTTCTCTCCAGGATTTTCAACCTCCTCACATCCCTAAGCCTCAGCAAATAATGGCCTTTGGCAGTGGCTGCTGCAGTACATATGATCCATGTCTATCCCTCTACCCAGTTTTCACCTCTATCCAATGCAACTGAGTCTAGCACATGAAAAGAGCCAATTTTCTGTTCAGTCCTTCTCAAGATAATTTCTAAAATGGCACCTCCTCAGCATTAGCTATAGGGCTTCTGTCTCCTTTCTCATTGTACCCTGCAGACAGAGGCTCTTAGGTCAGTCAGCTTTTAAGGTTTTCCCACATGTGGCCTATTCAGGCTGATGCTTTGTGTGTGGGATTCAGCTCCACAGACTCAAACATTAATATTCGGAGATTAACAGATCACATGATCATGTTATATGAACCTCTAACTTCATTTAATTAGGAATAAATGATGAAATAACTTACCCCAACAGCTTCCCCCATCTACGTATTCTTATCCAGCACCTAGGATCACTTTTATTCCAAAGTATCTAGTGTCACACCATAAAAATTCTTGCTTTCAGTAAAAATTATACGAAAATATACTAGTGTTTGGATATTGAAGCAGCACAGGCTTACCAAAAAAGGTCAAGGGTTTTTTCCAAGAACATGTGCATGTGTTAGCCCTAGAAGTCTCACAGAGCTCATAAGCTGAGAGGTCATATTCTCAAGGGCAAAGCATGCCCAAAGAAGCCCACTGGCAGAGCAGAGGAGGACTGAAACACAGGGGAACCAGAGGACTGACTGCAGGGAGGAAAACCACATCCTAGACATCTCTCTTTCCAGATACACTTGGATAGCATGTGTACTTTGAGGGAACAAAAGGCGGGCTTCACTGGTGACTTCACTGCCTCTCTATACCAGGGTAATAAGAGAGAAACAGGCAGAATTCCCAGAAGGGAAACTGAGGCAGAAAAGTTAATATATGTAATCATATGAAGCTGGGCAATGCGGAAAAATAATACATTCAACTGTTTCCAAAAAATGTATTTCTAGCCAAACCAAGTAAACCAGACTTGATAATGAAAATAGCACTTCATGAAAAGTTAGAAATGTAGTTCACAAGCCATCAGGAAAAGAGGTTTCGCCCTCTCTGTCATGCTCTGTCTTTCTGGGTGATCTCAGTTTTAAGAGCCTGGGTAGACCTGCTGTGGCAGCAGGCAGTGTGATTCTAGCTTATAACCCTCAGGCAGAAGCGGCTCTACCAGACAGTGTTTAGAGAGGAGGCTATGAGATGTTCACAGGTCTAGCCAAGGGGCAGGAAAAGATAAGATGTGGTTTTCTAAGCTGAAAACACTAAAACTGCACCCCCACAAGGGGTATTTATGAATGACAGGGTGGGGCTTGGACATAAGTCATTTTCCCCTGACCAACTACTGGCTAACTGATGGATGATGATCTGCTAGGTGTAGCTGTAGGATGTTGGAGGTTTACAGTCAGCTCATGCTCAACAGCAAGTGTTAAGAGTCTGTATTCTCTGATGTGAAATCTAAGTGGTAAATCCCCCCTGGGCAACCTAACAGGGGAGGTGGGGCCAGAACCACCAGGCACATGCGGAGAGAACCTACAACTCTTATATGTGAACTTACACTTTGTGGTTGCTGGAGGAGCAGCAGAGGGAGGTCCCTGCCAACTGAAACTCTGAGGAAAAGCACCCATGGAGCAAGAACATTCTTAATAGGGCAGAGGTCAAAATAAGGCTTTTGAATGGGGGTATTTCCTTATGGTTTTGAGTCTATATTCTGTGCAAATCTCTCTAAATATTCAATATGGCTATAAGAAACATGGATCAGCAGATCATGTTTCCAACTGCAAACATTTACAAGTGCCCTTGTAAGAAGCTAGGCAACAGGCATTCAAATAGAACAGCAGACCCAGAGACTTACTCCCGGCAGGGAAATGAATCTAAACTGCCTTTGTATATGATTACTGTTCCACTCCCCTCCTCAACACAGTAATCCTGAAAATGTTCCTTCCTTTAAAGGTAGATTGCAGGAAAGACATTGAAAAGAGCTCCCAAATAAATGGGCAACAGTTTTCTGAGAAGATGAACACAGCAGAAAACCTGCAGTTGATGCCATGTGATCTGGTTCCATCCCCATCAGTGTCTTTAGAACCCCATTGGGTCCAACAAGAAACTCCTCAGGGAGTAAGAAAAGTTAGGCTCAGATCTCCTTCTCACAGCCACAGTGACACATGGCCAGCAGTACATTTAGGGGATTTATGACTGTAACTCAGCTTTTTTTTTTTAAAGGAAACCAAAATTATATTTCCCCCCAAATCACCCATGAGCATGGCTCATTGCTTGAAGGACTTGGCAAGCCAGTCTGCCTCAGAACAGAAGGCAAACACTATAGTGTATCAGGAAGAAAAGGCCTTTGGGTATTATATCACTTCCTTCTGCCCGCTCCTCAGGGGCAAAAAATTAGTTCTACTTACTACATTTGAAAGACTAATTTTTAAAAAAAAAAATTAATAAAAATGATAATTTCCCTGTCAAGATCACATGAACATAAACAGTAAAGCAAAGTCTGTGGGGAAGGTATATGGATGAAGAACAGGCTTCTAAGGTATAGTCAGCCTCCTTCTTGGTGTGGGTGGGTGACATCTCTTGGAGGATAGACTGTCTGGTCGCTTCATCCCAGGTCCTCTTGCCCCAGTTGTCTTTCCTTTGCAGCTGTTCTTAGATTTAGTGTTGGGATCACAATTTGGAATTCAACAGAGCTTCTGAAGGTGATGGGACAGAGGGAGAGGAGAAGAGAGGGCAAGAGGAATGAAAGATTAGTCTTCTTCATCCTCACTGATATCATAGGCTGCAGCCTTGTGCCTGGAGAGGTTTGCAGGGGAGGCAGGTGGGGAAGTCTTGCCAGAGAAGGGCCATCGGAAGGAGGGGGATGGGGAGCGTTCACGAGTAGGGCTGCTGCTGGGACTCTGCTTTGGACTGATGGCCTGTAGCATCCGGCCTTTGCCCTCTTTCAGCATATGTTTCTGAGGAGACCAAAAGGAAGAGTTAGAAGAAACCTAAGGGTCCTACTAAATTATCAATGAAGAACCTGAGACTTCATTGCAATATTAAAAGTAATCCAGGGCGTTCTCTGCAATATCAAAAGTAATCCAGGGCCTCCCTGGTGGCGCAGCGGTTGAGCGCTGGGTTGCGAAGCTGCCCACAGCCTCTGCAGTGCCGGTTCGATCCCCAGCCACCAGGTGAGGGCCCACATGGCGCGCAGACCTCTCCTGCCGCCCGCTGCTCCCCTGAGCAGTGTATCATCGGTCTGCCTGTTCTGTTCCCCACTCTGGCTCTGGTGAATTCTCTCACCCTCCCGCGCTTCTGACTGTAACCAGTACTTGTACAAAAAAATAAAATAAATCTTTAAAAAAAAAAAAAAAGTAATCCAGTAAACCACAGAAGGGACGCAGCTATAATTCTAAGAGATTTCCTCTGTAATGTGGTCTGTGCTATACACTTATTTAGGTAAGGGTTCCCACCTATTATCCAGTTACCAAATCCTTCAATTCTATGTCAAAGGAATTCTTAGGTTATTTGGTCTGTAGTCCAGACACCAGGCAAAAACACAGAAACTAACTCAAACAAAAGTGTATCCTAGTTGTAATGTTCTCTGGGAAAAAAACAAAACAAAAACATTCCATATTCTTCCTTAAGATCTACTCTTATATCCAAAGACTCTCACAATCAGATCCTTCCCGATATCTAACCTAGAGCTCACTTGCTGAATAGTTACAGATACATGTTTTATTTGGCTTAAAAAGATCCTGCTGTTCCTCTAGGGCAGAATAGTCCCCTCACTCAGTGACTCTGCAGAAGCTCTCCATATTGGAGGCAGTTTTCTTTTGACCGTTCTCTATTCTGTAGAAGCAAGCTCGACAAGGCTACTTGGCTTATCCTGTCACCAGATTTGGAGGCTGATTGTAAGCAGGAAAAATCATTTAGGAGAATGTGTAACCTCTTTCTGTGAAGATCTTAAAGGACTTTTGGGGGACAGCTGAAATATGGTTCTGTCCAATGAGAAGAACAAGTTAGATAACGTCTTATTGTTGGTGTCTCTTTCTGCTTAAGGATTCTATTATTCTTCCCACAACATGGAAATTCTCTAAATTTTCCTGAAATTCCTTTAACTGTGCAGCAGGTAAGAACATACCAGAGCTCCTTCAGGTCCAAACATTTCCAGGAAACTTCCAATGAATTCTCGGGATTTCTCCTCCCATTTCTGAATGAGGTCAATGCTTTTTTCTTCTACCTTCTGAACAAATTCTTTTGACTTTTCTTCCACATCTTTCACTTTCTTCTTTACTTTATCAACCCGTTCCTGCAAGTGGTATTTCTTCTCCTAGGTAAAGAAATCACCTTTTTAAGAAATATTATGTGGCTCTTCCCTACCAATGAAGAAAGAAAAAGCATGATGGACATTCTACTGACACTCTCTAATGCCTTTAAATTTCATTTTGCTTTTATGTACCCCATACTTCTCTAGCATAGTAACAGACAAGATATGCTCTGGAAAGTCATCTTACACAAAAATGTGATAATTCTAACATTGTGGAAGCATGGGATTAAACTAAATATATAGAGCCAGTAACAGACAGACATGTAGCAAAAGGAACTCAGATTGTTTAAGGTAAAACATAAACTTGGAATATAAACATGCCCAACATGCATAGCAGCAAGATCATGGCACAGTATTACCAAGAATAGACCAACTATAATAAGCTGACTATGAAAGTAAAGGATATTTAACTTAATTTATTTATTGTACTGGATTTCTTCCCTCTGTAACTGGTCTATTCTATGATTTTTAGAAGTGCTGTATTATTTTTTAGTATTTGATCATCTGTCTGCTCATTTACAAAATGAAGGTGATACTCTAGGTCTCTCCCGTTTCCCTAAAGGTAAGGGGAAAAGTTATAAACTCTAAGAGTGTGGAGGGAGTATTTAGCCAAATAAAAAAATATTCTCATATTTCCAGGTTATAAAATGGAAAGGGACTATGTTTGGAGTGTTTGAAAATCTGAAATAAAGATTTGTAGTAGGTGACTAAAACAGCTAGGGTTTATCTGTACAGATACATTGTATTTAGATGAAACTATTTTACCTATTCTTACAGCATAATTCACAGAGCTGGGAGCAAGAAGGATCATGGTAATTACTCACACAGATATAATTAGAATTTTTCTCCTTTTAAAATCATCTTCTGAGGTTATCAACAAAACACAGTAATTTGTTTCTAAAGGACAAAATTAAGCTAAGAAAAACTTTGCTTTCATAAATCAAATTTTCAAACTTAGGTCCATGTGCCCTAAGAAACTGAACATAAAATGTTGTGTTGCTATCACAGGGAGGATTCCTCTGATAGACCTCCAAGCTTTCATCAGATTTTCAAAAGACCCTGCTACTCCATTCAATCCAAATAGAAAGTTAAGAGCCATTGTTGTGGGCCTCCCTTGTGGCGCAGCAATTGAGTGCTAGGCTGTAAAGCTGCCTGCGGCCTCTACAGCTCCAGGTTTGATCCCAGGCCGCCGGGCAAGGGCCCCACATGGCGCGGCAGACCTCTCCTGTCTCGCCCGCTTCTCCCCTCAGCTCCCCTCAGCAGTGTACTTCGTCAGTTTGCCTGTTCTTGTCCCCACTCTTGCTATGGTGAATTCTCTCACCCTCCCGCGCTTCTGACTGTACCCAGTGCTTGTATAAATAAATAAATAAAATCTTTAAAAAAAAAAAAAAACATTGTTGTAGATATATTTGATATAAATACTGTACTATATACTTACACATTCTTATTTAATTGGCTGTATGCCCTTATATCACGTGATGATATTAGACCACAAAGGTAGAAAATGCTTATTTTATTCTCTTTGAAAAAAGCATAGTGTTATCTGCAAAGAGGCATTGATTGAGCTTTTGGAGATGGCTAATTACAACAGACTGAGCAGAAAGTTCAGTTTATGGGAGCAAACAGGAGGCAACATGCATCCTATAGGGTCAAAGAACACTGGACGAGGCTGGAACTCACATTGATAAAGCTGACGTTCAGCTCCTTTGCTGTGTAGCCCCTCTGTAGGTTCCGTCTGGCATACACATCATAGTCCCGGACAATTCGGGTGATGATGTCTGATGTGGAGATACCTTCTGTCCTCTGTGTTGGAGCAAACATGCCTAGCCCAAGAACATAAACATACACTATGATATTCTGGTTAGCTCAAGCAGTAGGACTAAATAGAAACTGGGAATAACATGCCTTTCCTTAAAAAAGCAGAATCTCCCATTATCTAAGCAAATTTTAGAGAAACTGATATACAGAAGGAGGACTAAATCAAAGGGTAGGAGAAACTCTTTGGCCCAAATATAAGAAAAATATGGGGTTATAGAGGGTTTCCTGAAAATATGAGAGCTATCAAAAGCAGATGTTTAGACTGAGACTCGGTGGATATCAGTGCTATGCTCACCTTCACCTCTTATCCAAAATGTGAACTGAAAGCGGATGTTAAATTTCTCAGTGTATTAATTTTCCTCTGTAAAGTAGTGTTATGGTTGAATCTTTGTAGCTGCCCCTGAGATTCTATAAGGTTAAGGATGCTCATCAACTTACTTACCTGCTTCCTTGATGTGCTTATAAACATCATCACTCCCCGCAGAAGAATAAGGGATGTCATCATGAGCTACAAAATCAATCTAAAAACAAGAAATATCACTTAAAATCCAGCATAACTGCCATTCAGAAAAAAACCAATAAATATTCTTTGCCCAGAAAAAGGACAAAAATCAGATGCCAGACCTCAAATGGTCTTTTTATCTTGATATCTCTTTGCTTTGCTCATAAAGTCTACAATTCATTGGAAAAACCACACACCTAATCATTTCAGGATCACAGATATGAAGTCAGACATTTTCCATCCTAGCTACCTTTATCCTGTTCTTCTGGAAGTACTCCTTTCACATTACATACCAGTTATCAAGCTGTGGCTAACAGAAGGGGAAGATTTTCTGGTGAGCTAGCTAGTAGTAGTGCCAAGGAAAGAGGGGGGAAAAATCTCACCATCCCTCCTGGTCTGTAAGGATTGGTAAAATAAAAGAGATCACTTCTTCATTAATTGGGTTTTTTCTTGGTCTGTAAGATGAGTGGGAATATAAAAATAACAACCAGAATTCTTTTACTATAAAATATGCTCCTGTACTCCTGAGAAATGCAAAAACCCAAAGCCATGAAACATTTATAGGCTTTGGGACCTATCATTTCACTGTTGTCAATATCTCTTGTAACAGTGAGATCAATGGCACTGGGATCAATAATCTTTCTGAGAAACATGCTAAACCTTACCTATTTACTCCTTCCTGAATAGGTCATAGGCCCTTTGTTAGTATAATTACTAACAGCACCATACCCAAAAGCCACTGTTGTGTCATACATGCTACTCAGGACTGTATAAGGGACCCTCAGCTAACATAGCAATTATTCATAAACAACTTCTCAGGGATCCATAGGAAGCAAAGTTAAAATAAAAATTGCAGGCATGCAAGCCTTATGGTGAAGGATACATTGCTAACAAAGAGAAAAGGGAAGCGTCTGCAGGCTATGTTGCTGAGAACAATCTTGCTCATCACCTTTGGGGCCACTTGCTACTAAGCCCTGGTGAAGAAAAGCTAGAAAACTATATAAGATCTTTCCTAATCCTAAGAAGTTGTAACAAATACTGCTTTGCTTTAGGCCTATTCAAATATTTCTTCCCAAGCTCTATGGTTACCTTTGTTCTTTCCTGTATTATGGAATAATAAATCTGCAGTATCTACATACACCTGTGGAGAACTGACAATATGCTTTTCAGTTCCTCAAGCTTGAGGTCCTCCAACCTGGCCTAAAAATTCTTCTCATCTCTTATACCCACCTTTGTAGGAAACCTGTTGCTTTAATGTGGAGAATAAAAAAGGAGAAGAAGGGTTTTAACTCACTAAGTGAAAATGAGAAATTGCCCTGGTTTCTGATCCCATACAACTTCTGGCCCACACCAAAGTCTTAAAACTAAACTTAAGTTTAGTTAAGAGAAATCTATGTTTTTCTGTATTATTTCCTGGAATGTAAACTCCTTGGGAGTATGCTATGGGAGTATGAGGATGAACACACCTATAGTGTGTGCATGTGGCAGGGGACTGGCATCACATTATCTAAAGAGCTCAGTCTATAGCCTTGTTACCATGTGATCTGAAGAAGGTTATTTGGTCTCTCTGGGCCCTATTCTCTCAAATGTAAAGTAGAAATAATAACTACCCCACAGAATTGTTGTGGGGCATAAATTATAGATAATGGACAGGAAAGTACTTACAAACCACCAAACCCCACATAAATATCAGGATGACTATTATTGATAATAATATCACTGCCATCTTCTCTTTGTCAAATTTACATAGAAAACAGAAGTAAAATAGGGTTAATGGGAAACCAGCCCTCTACCATAAACTTTCAGAGTTGATGAGATTCTGAAACAAGAATGGGGACATAAGCTGTTTCTTACCCGGTGCTCTGCCAGGAACTCTGGTGTCAGGGTCCAGGGAGCATTCCTCACCACCTCATCCACATAGCGGCAGTGTTGCACTGCATCATAGCGCTCATTTTCATTCATCACTGTGAAGCCTTTAAGGTTGTGCGTTAGCTCGTCACTGCAAACTGAATTCACCACATCATAAAATTGTAAGTCAAAGTCCTTTCTATTTAACCACTCCTTAGTCACCATTCTCTCCCATTTTCTAGAATGTAACCAGTCTCCCCACCTGGAGAAAAATCTTCTGAATGTAGCTAAGTCTGGGCAATAATGCTTTTCCTAGTCCAAGATACACCTTTAGAAGCAACACTCACTAAATAGTCAATGTTCATACTTCAGAGAATAAAGAATACAAATGGTACTAAGATATTTGGCTCTGAAAATACATCTGCTGTGCATTTCTTCCTCAATTAAGTTTTAAAAAATATTTTCCTGTTATATTTTATATTATTGGACTGGACCACATAACATTTGCTTAGTTAACATTTTCATATTTCAGTTGATTGAAAATGATAAACTGAAACCTAAAGCAAATGTTATTATTAAGTAGGTAATAGGGTGCCAAGTGCTACTCCCATAACTGCAGAAATTCAGCTAAAACCAATGAGATAAATACTGATATTTCAGGCCAATGCACTTGGAGCCCCTCTCTCCAGGTTTAGGTTTCTAGTACCTCACATACGTCATGTTTGAAAGAGGATGTACTATATCCCTCATTTAAAAAACAAAGCAAGGCGGAGCAACATGGCGGCGAGGAGACACTGCGAGTAAGATCTCCCATTAAAAAAAGTTAATAGGGAGAAAAAGCGGCAGGTCCCAGTGAGAACTGGGACACGGAAGATAAACGGACGACTCCAGCAAACTGCCCGAAGAAGAAAGTGGCCATAAAAGAGGACCAGAAGGGAGGGAAGCGCAGAACCCTGCTCCCCTCCCCCACCCACAGAGTCCGCACTCTCCGACCAGCAGAGAGGAGGAAAACAACAAACTAAAACGACCAACAAGAACAAACTACGCAACAAGCGGGACTGTGAGTGGAAAGGAACTATTGCAGCCACCGCACCCCGTGAACGGGAGCTGTGGAGAACCCTGCAGGATTCGCTGCAGTGGTGAGCGAACGGCTCCTGGCGTCATTAGAGAAGAACAAAGATCCCGGGAGACCTGCACACATCCCGGGCTGCCAGTAAGCTTGCGCGGAAAAGCGGCGCGCTTGGCGCGCTTGAAAAGCAAACGCAGATCGGGATGGCGGCTGCCCAGGTCCCCGCACCGGCGACCTAGGCTTGTGGGGAGATGCGCAGAGGCCCTCACTGGGGTGAAAGTCCCTCCCTGAGTAAGCAGGAACCAGGCGCCCAGGCACGGGAGCGGGGTGCAAAAGGCGCCATTCCCGCGCCATTGAACTGGGCTATAGCCCGCGTCCTGGACTTGAGGGCTTTGGAACTGAGACCCGGGGCACGAAATTCGGGGTGTGGGTTCTCCACGACGGTGGGGCACAAGGCAGACACAGAACCCCAAAGCCGTTGAGGTTTACCCTACCATTCCTGCTCTGTTCCCTGTCCCGCGGGGGTGGGGGGGTTGAAAAACAGCCCCCCAAGGACAATAGGAGAGATCTCTGGTGCCACTTAGCAACCAGAAAAAAAGTCACTAACACCCCATAGAACAGGGAAATTTCTTAAGAAAAAACTTCTTGAAAAGGGAAGAAGGCTTCTGGAGGACCCAGTGGCCAGCTGGGAAGTTAGCCCATGCCAGGCCCCTTCCGACCAGCAGTCTGAGCCCACAGAGGGAGCGGGCACCCACATCCGGGGCAGACCGGGCACTCAAAAGAGTGTGCCTAAGACCGGATGCGCAGGGACTGAGTCCCGCTTCGCCATTTTAGAACAGGGCCATTTCTTCAGTAAAGACTGCCTAAAACCAGCAGAAAGCTCCCCCAGAAGCCAGAGATGGTTCCTGAAGGAGCCAGAGGGGAGCGGAGAAGTTCACCCAAGATGCCGGCCAGTCCGAGCAACACAGTGTCCCAATGCATACGACAAATTAGAAAACAGACAGTAGGGAGTAGAAGAACCACACGCAACCTAACAACTCCTCAGGAAAGAAGCACACCACAAAAAGAAAACCACCCTCCAGATTGCAACGACAGTAACTTGGAAGAACTTCTGAGCCTTCCAGAAAGAGAATTTAAAATTGCCATGATTAAAAAAGTGACAGAAGTCATAAAGGAAAACAATGATCAGAAGAAGGAAATTGAGTCCCTAAAGAGGGAAAACAATGGTCAGAAGAATGAAATTGAGTCCCTAAAGAGGGAAGTAAAAGAAATGCAAGAGATCAAAGAATTAATGGAGGAACTAAAGAACTCTGGGAAAAGCAATGAAAGCAGAATAGATGAAATGGAAGAACGAATAAGTACTCTTGAAGACACAGAAATAAAAAGAACCAAAACAGAAAAGGAAAGAGAAGTACGAAGGAAAAAGAACGAAGAAAGACTTCGGGAACTATCTGACTCCATGAGGAAAGGAAATATAAGAGTTATAGGAATTCCAGAAGGAGAGGAGAGAGATGTAGGAACAGAGAAAATATTCCAGGAGATAATTGAAGAGAACTTCCCCAATGCGAAGAAGGAGCTGAAAATTGATAAACAAGAAGCAAGAAGAACACCAAACTTCCACGACGAAAGGAAAAACACAGCAAGACACATAATAGTAAAGCTCCCAAGAATCCAGGACAAGGAAAAAATAATGAAGCTGACAAGAGGGAAGAAACAGATAACATTCAAAGGAAAACCAATCAGGCTGACATCAGACTTCTCTGAAGAAACACTACGGGCAAGGAGAGAGTGGAGGGACATAGTCAACAGACTCCAAGAAAACAGATGCCAACCAAGAATACTCTATCCTGCAAAGCTCTCCTTCCTCTATGAAGAAAGAATAAGGACCTTCCCAGACAAAGAGAAACTCCGGAATTTCATTACGACTAAACCCCCACTCCAAAAAATACTACACGGAATCCTAAAGCCAGAACCTCAGAGGGACGAATAACAACGAAAGAAGACCAAAAAAAAAAAAAAAGTTATTAAAAGAATAAATAAATAAAATCAAAGGAAAGACAAACACAATGGCAAATACAGATGCTAACATATCAATATTAACTCTAAATGTAAATGGACTAAACTCTTCAATAAAAAGACACAGAGTTGAAGCCTGGATTAAGAAACAAAACCCAACCTTTTGCTGTCTCCAGGAAACACATTTAGCTACAAAAGATAAAAATAGGCTCAAAGTTAAAGGATGGAAAACAATCCTACAAGCAAATGGACCAAAAAAGAAAGCAGGAACAGCTATACTTATATCAGATAAAACAGATTTCAAACTCAAAAAAATAAAAAGAGACCCCAATGGTCACTACATTATGATCAAGGGGACAATACTTCAAGAAGAAATAACACTCATTAACATATACTCACCAAACGAAGGAGCACCAAAATATATCAGACAACTGTTGTCCTCTCTGAAAACAGACATCAGAGAAAACACATACGTAGTGGGAGACTTCAACACACCACTATCAACAATGGATAGATCAACAAGACAAAAAATAAGTAAAGAAACTAAAGCTCTAAATAAGGACCTAGAGCATTTGGGCTTAACAGACATCTATAGAACACTAAACCCAAAAAAAACGGAGTACACATTTTTCTCAAGAGCACATGGCTCATTCTCCAGGATCGATTACATACTGGGGCACAAGACAAACATCAACAGATACACCAAGATTGAAATCATACCAACCATCTTTTCTGACCATGAAGGCATCAAACTAGAAATAAACCATAAAAAGAAGGCAAGGAACTATGCTACCTCATGGAGATTAAAAACCACACTACTGGAAGACCACTGGACTAACGAGGAGATCAAAGAAGAAATTAAAAAATTCTTTGAATTGAATGACAAGGAGGACACCAATATCCTAAATGTAGGGGATGCAGCAAAAGCAGTAATAAGAGGAAAATATATAGCAATAGAAGCTCACATCAAAAAACAAGAAAGAACTCAAACAAACAACCTAATCTCGAAGCTCAGAGATCTAGAAAAAGAACAACAAAAAAACCCCAAAACCAGTAGAAGAAAAGAAATAATAAAAACCAAAGCAGAAATAAATGAAATTGAAACTAAAAAAACAATCCAAAAGATCAATGAAACCAAGAGCTGGCTCTTTGAAAAAAATCAATAAAATAGACAAACCCCTAGCCAGGCTCACAAAGGAAAAAAGGGAGAAAGCACAAATAAACAGGATCATAAATGAAAGAGGAGAAATCACAACGGACACAGCAGAAATCAAAAGAATAATCAGTAACTACTATGAACAGTTATATGGAAACAAGTTCAACAATCTAGAGGAGATGGACAAATTCCTACAACTCTACAATCACCCAAAGCTAGATAAAGAAGAAATAGAACACCTAAACAGACCAATTACAAGCAGCGAAATTGAAATGGTAATCAAAAACCTTCCCAAAAACAAAAGCCCAGGACCTGATGGATTTACAAATGAATTCTACCAAACATTCAGAGACGAATTAGTGCCTATCCTTCACAAACTCTCCCAAAAAATTGAGAAGGAAGGGACAATGCCAAACACGTTCTATGAAGCCAACATTACACTAATACCAAAACCGAACAAGAACAACACAAAAAAGGAAAACTACAGGTCAATCTCCCTAATGAACACTGATGCAAAAATCCTCAATAAAATTTTAGCTATCAGAATCCAACAACGTATCCATAAGATAATTCACCACGACCAAGTAGGATTCATTCCAGGGACACAAGGATGGTTTAACATCTGAAAATCAATCAGCGTTATCCAACACATCAACAAAAAGAAATATAAAAACCATATGATAATATCAATAGATGCTGAGAAAGCTTTCGACAAAGTGCAACACCCATTCATGATAAAAGCCCTTGAAATTCTTGGGATACAAGGAACATACCTCAACATCAGAAAGGCCATCTATGATAAGCCAACAGCCAGTATCATCCTCAATGGTGAAAAGCTGAAAGCAATTCCATTAAGATCTGGAACAAGACAAGGATGTCCACTCTCACCACTGCTTTTCAATATAATACTGGAAGTCCTAGCCAGAGCAATAAGACAAGAGAAAGACATACAAGGAATCCAAATAGGAAAAGAAGAAGTCAAACTATCACTATTTGCAGATGATATGATAATATACATAGAGAACCCCAAAAACTCCACAGAAAAACTAATTCAACTCATCAATCAATTCAGTAAAGTGTCAGGATACAAAATCAACACGCAAAAGTCAGTAGCCTTCCTATACACAAACAATAAATCTGAAGAAGAAGAAATCCAAAAAACCATCCCTTTTATTATTGAAACAAAAAAAATCAAATATTTGGGAATAAATCTAACAAAAGAGGTAAAGGACCTATACAAAGAAAACTATAAAACACTGTTAAAAGAAATAGAAGAAGACACAAAGAAATGGAAAGACATCCCCTGCTCATGGATTGGAAGAATAAACATTATTAAAATGGCCATCCTACCAAAAGCAATATACAGATTCAATGCTATTCCAATCAAAATTTCAATGTCATTCTTCAAAGAAATAGAACAATTATTGATGAAATTCATATGGAATCACAAAAAACCCCGAATAGCCAAAGCTCTACTGAAAAAAAAAGAAGGAAATGGAGGCATCACACGCCCAGACTTCAAACTCTACTACAAAGCCATAATCATCAAAACGGCATGGTATTGGAACAAGAACAGACATACAGACCAATGGAATCGAATAGAAAATCCAGAAATAAACCCACAGATTTATGGTCAATTAATTTTTGACAAAGGAGCAAAAACTATGCATTGGAGCAAAGAAAGTTTGTTCAATAAATGGTACTGGGAAAACTGGGTTGCTACATGCAAAAGAATGAAGCTTGACCACTACCTCACACCATACACAAAAATCAACTCAAAATGGATTAAAGAACTAGACATAAGACCTGAAACCATAAAATACATAGAAGGAAATATAGGCGAAACACTACGTGATTTGCATATCAAAGACATCTTTACAGACACATCACCCAAAGCAGTGATAGTGAAGGCAAAGATAAACAGCTGGGACTACATCAAATTAAAGAGCTTCTGCACAGCAAAAGAGACAATAACAAAAACAAAGAGAAACCCCACCAACTGGGAGAACATTTTTGCACACAACACTAATGATAAAGGACTGATCACAAAAATCGGCAAAGAGCTGATGAGACACAGCAACAACAAAGAAAATAACCCAGTCAAAAAATGGGCAGAAGAGCTAAAAAGAAACTTCTCTGAAGAGGAAATGCAAATGGCCAACAGACATATGAAAAAATGTTCAACATCACTTGTAATCAGGGAAATGCAAATCAAAACTACCATGAGATACCATCTCACACCAGTGAGAATGGCACATATTAAAAAAACTAGCAACAACAAATGTTGGCGAGGTTGTGGAGAAAAAGGAACTCTTTTACACTGTTGGTGGGAGTGCAAACTGGTCCAACCACTATGGAGAGCTGTGTGGAGATTTCTGGACCTACTAAACATAGAGCTTCCATATGATCCAGCAATTCCACTCCTAGGTATTTACCCAAAGGACACAGAAACATCAATTCCAAAGAACACCTGCACCCCTATGTTTATAGCAGCACTATTTACAATAGCTAAGCTTTGGAAACTGCCCAAATGTCCAAAAATAGATGACTGGATCAAGAAGATGTGGTACATATATACCATGGAATATTACTCAGCAGTCAAAAAAAGATAAACACATGCAATTTGCAACAACATGGATGGCGCTGGAAGGGATCATGCTCAGCGAAATAAGCCAGAAAGAAAAAGAAAAATACCGGATGGTCTCACTCATAGCAGGAATCTAGAAAACTTAAATAAGGGACCAGGAAAATGAATAACTATAAGAAAGTGAAAATCAAAATCAACAAAAAACTATGAACCAGAGACACTTTTTGGGGGGTGGGGGCCGGGAGGGGAGGGATTGGGGTCAGAATGGGGCATTTGCAATTGTATGGGGGAATATAAAAATAAAATTTATTATTTAAAAAAAATAAAATAAAATAAAAAAATAAACATGAACAATGATATAAAACATATAAATAAAAAATAAATAGATAAAAAAAATAAAAAACAAAGCAAGAGCCTATGTACTCAGGTTATAAAGAAAGAGGAAAAAAGATAAAATTCTGTTATTCTAAAATGCTTTTAATTTACATTTATTAGTGAGTTCTTGTGAATTATAAACTTCAAAATTTAAGGACAACACATGTATCTTCAACTTCTACACACCACAAATGGTGTGAGTATGTATAGATTACGTCCCTGGACAGCACCTCAAGTCTTCAGATGTTTTCTTACCTCCCACAATGAGGTATGTATTAGGGAAAAGATTCTTTGCTTGCATCAAAGCCCGGGCATGACCAGAGTGAAATAAGTCAAATATGCCATCTGCATATACTCTCACAGGCCGCTCACCTAAATCAAAAGAAAAGAATTTATCACAGAAATACACAGAGTCAGTACCTCATATTTAACAAATGGAAATAGCACTATGTGACTCTCCCATCCCTGAATACCCCTCTCTTAAGGTGCTCTAATTTGTGGGTAAATTAGGATAGCGAGGAGTAACACCATAGACTTGTTTGGGTACAAAGATCTTGACGTCGCAACCATAGACTCCTGTTACCCAGGTTGTACCAAACTGTTCAGGAAATTGGATTTCACGATTGCTTTTTCTTAAAGTTGTTTTAGGAATGATTCAAGAGTTACACAACAGATATGCCCTTAACTTCAAAAAACAGATAAAATCTTTGCCTTCAGTTTATGTTTATTAAATTTCAGTTATGTTAAAACCAAACAGTTTAGTTAAGCTATACTCTTGCACTCTCATTTTCCAGCTGCCTTGATTACTAATGACTAATGCTTTGCTTTCAAAATAAACTTTCCCCCTGGAAAGTAAGGGGTACTCCAGAAGGGTGAGACTGAGAAAGAGGGAAACTAAGTCCCAGTTACCAACTTATTGTTCCTCTGTCCCAGATTTATCCTCAATACCTACTCCATGATAACAGACAGAATTCCTTAAAGCATTTCTCCTGAATAGTGAGATATCTTCTCGGTAGAAGATGATATACAAAGTATTTGAAAATCAAATATAAATGTTTTAAGACTTCATGTTAGAGCTTTTCTTCTTCTCTTCTCCATTAGTGAAAATAATAGAGAACTGATCATCAATTTATTTTTAGTGAGAGTAGACTATAAAAGAAACGCCAACTGATCTCTTGAGGTACAAGATTAATTAGCTGAAAGTCAAATAAATATATTGGGAATGAAACTGGTAACAATTCATCATGCCTAAAATGATAAATCCAACATATCCTAGTAAATTATTCTCATTATAGGAATAAAGGAAGAGCTATTTCACTATAGCAGCAGCAGTAACAGCAGGAACATCAACATCATGCTGGGAAAGAAGAGACTTCAGTCTCTTCACAAGTTTCTATGGACCTTAATTTCTTCGTGTTTATAATGAAGAGATTATAAAGCCAATAATCTCAAAAATTATTTACTCGTAAAGTTGTGTTATTGTAAATGCTTTTAATTTAGACTTATTAGTAAGTTCTTACAATTATAAACTTCAAAATTTAAGGACAATACACATATCTTCAACTTTCACATACCACAAATGGTATGAGTATAGATCAACAGCAATATGGGTAACACGGTGTGATGAGAACTGAATGAGGTACTCGATTCTGAATGTGCGTCATTAAAGAGCACATGAAATGTTCTTGCCCTCTACAGGCGCTACTATCACATCTGAATGTGAGCCTTGAACTGCTTGGTGGTATTCTGAAATTTGACCTGCCACCATTACACCCTATTACATTTAGCCTCTCTTTTTCCTTGTTATCATTTTACCCTGCCCCATTGGCCTGCCAATTTCTCAAGGACAGGGAATCAAACATGAAAAATTATATTATGAATCAGAAGAGTTGTGATCAACATGAACTATATCTGAACACTTTTGTAAAAGGAAAGCATTCTCTGGAATTTTTAGGACCCAAAACTAAAACTAAATACCAGATAACCAAGACACAGCCACGTCATACTGGGATCCCTTGCCCGACTTTGTCCAGCGTTCATGTCTATCTGTATATGTATATCACTACTTCTCAGTTACAACAGAGATCAAACATTCTAAAACAATTCAAAATAACCACAAATAGCTTCCATATACTGGAAATGTATAGGCTGTGCTAAAATTGCCTCTTATTCTTAGTGTTAACCTAGATTTAAGTCCAGTCCCTCATTACAGAGTATAGAGAACACACTGTAGAAACTGAAAGAACTGGAAAAGAATTGAAAAAATGGGGAATTTACAGAGAAGTAGAGGTGGCTGCCTATAGCACTTCGAATTCGTAACAAATGCTCATGGAAGTTTCTACTTATAATTATCTTTAAAACCAACTGCACAAAAAGGATGAGTATCTAAAATACATGTTAATAATTTATGTAGTCAAACATTGCTAGCTAATGATATAAACAAAGCATACAAATATAGTACAGGCATTGAAAAGAATAATGCAAATCTAAAAAAAAACCCTGGAAAATTAATTTTATCTTTATTTGTGATGAACAACTTCCAACTTGGGTTACTTTTGTTCTCTATCATTCAGCAGTATTACAAGCTAGGTTACCGACCCAAAACTCCAGCACCCTTCAGGACAGCAGGCTCCCAACAAGAATGTAGGAGGATTTGGGGGCGGAAATTCTGAAGGCTATTAAAAAATGTAATAGTCTGATAAATTATTTAGACCTTTGCAAAAATAGACAAGATTATAACCCAGCTCAGGACAATATCTTATTGCCTCTGCTCTGCTATATCTCACAGAGGTAACAACATCCTAGGAAACAAGTGTACAATAAGAAGAAAAAATAAAATTCTATGCAGTAGAGCTAACTCCCAAATAGAACAGCAGGGCAGGGGAAAGGAAACCTCCCCCCACCCCCACCCTTTACAGAGAAACAGAAGGGAGAATATAGAGTGGATGTATATTGGATCAACACAATTGAATGCTAAAAACAATAGTAAAGGAACAAAATGATTATATATTTACTTACAAGGAGTTCCTCTGCAGGCTTCTTCCATAGTTACCCTGACATAGGGTTTACTAAAGTCTACGTCAATTTCATCAGAAAAAGGAGCTGGCTGCCGTAAGCCCTTAGGAAGAAAAACATGAATGAAAAAGAAAGTTAAATTCAATGACACAAACTGAAATACTAAAAAAATGGCCTTAAAGAACAGTTATTCAATATGCTACAATTAAAATTTCTCCTAGAAGTTTCTAACGTAAAAAATTTTAAAAAGAAAAAGGGCATTCCAAAATAACCATATGATTAAAGATAAATGTTTTCCTGGTGATTTCAGGGTAACTGAGTGAAGTGGCTGGGAACCTAAGCACCAAGTGGATCCCACTAACTGGATACAAAATAATGGCTCCCTATGCTGCATATCAGAACAACCAATGTTATGAAATTGGCAAGATTCATAAGTGCATTTTCATACCACTTCAACTAGGATTCTCTTCAAGTTAAAATGAAGAAAGTTTGTTTTAAAAAAATATACGTAAAAATACTTAATCTTATTTTTATAAACCCAAGCTTCTAGAAACACTGTTCTTTATCTCACAAAGGAGTAACAGGGCTTTAAAAAAAAATACTGGGCCTCCCCTGGTGGCGCAGACAGTTGAGCACCATGCTGTGAAGCTGTCCACAGTCTCTGCAGTACCGGTTGGATCCTGGCCAGCCGGCAAGGGTCCCACATGGCACGGCAGACCTCTCCTGTCTCTCCCGCTGCTCCCCTCAGCAGTGTATTTCGTCAATCTGCCTGTTCTGTTCCCTGCTCTGTCTCTGGTGAATCCTCTCACCCTCCCGCGCATCTGGCCTGTACCCCGGTTCTTGTATAAATAAATAAAAATCTTAAAAAAAAAAAAAACTACTCATTCTGGGCTTCCCTGGTGGCACAAGGGCTAAGTCTCAGGACAAGAAGCTATTGGCAGCCACTGCAGCACCAGCCAGGGAGCTACCCACATGGCGTAACAGACCTCTCCTGACTCACCCGCTGTTCCCCTCAGCAGTGTATTTCAGTCAATCTGCCTATTCTGCTTCCCACTCTGTATCTGGTGAATCCTTTCACCCCCAACCCCCACACCCTGCACCTCTGGCCTACACTCCAGCTCTTATATGCATAATAATATTAATTTTTAAAAAATTCAAAAATATATACTATTCATTCTATCTGGGTGCAACCCTAGAGAGAGAAGGATTTTGCTGACTTGGGGTAACTAAAGAATCTTAGGTTTCATTCTCTATACTTAGGAAGGACTGAGTCAGCGCAAACCCCAGCCAGACAGGACAGCTGCATTTGCCTTCTGCCTTGGGACAGGCACACAATATATGAAGTAAATTGAAGACACAGTTATGAAAAAATAGGAATTAATGTATCTTTTTAAAATTGAACAAGGGGCCTCCCTGGTGGCGCAAGGGGTTAAGTCTAAGCACTATCCAGCTATCACCAGCCACTGCAAGATGAGTTCAATCCCCAGCCAGAGAGCTAACCCACATGGTGCAGCAGACCTCTCTTGCCTCGCCTGCTGCTCCCCTCAGCAATGTATTTCAGTAGATCTGCCTGTTCTGCTCCCCATACTGTCTCTGGTGAATCCTCTCACCCCCCTTACCTCTGGCCTACACCCCAGTTCTTGTATGCACAAATAAAGAAATAAATAAAATTGAACAAAATGCACATGACATAAATTCACTGCTTAAACCATTTTAGAGTATACAAATCTGTGGTTTTTAATATATTCAGCATACTTACTATATTGTATGACCATTGCCACTGCCTAATTCCAGAACACTTTATCACCACAGAAAGAAACCCCATGCCCATTAGCAGTCACTCTTCATTCTCTCCATTGTCTATTTTACCATCTTAAAATTTATCTTGTTCTCTTTGTATCTTGTTCTCTTTGTACTTTATTAATCTAAGGCTTCGTCATCTCTAACCTGGGTCATTACAACAATCTCACTCTAGCTTCGGTCTATCCCTATTTCAACCCATCCCTTCCAAAGCAATGAGAATGATCTTTCTAAATTGCAAATCTGATCACATTACTTACAGGATAAAGTTCAAACTCCTTAGCACAGGACACAAAACCCTTCATCAGGCACTTGCTTATCTATCACAGATTGTTATTCTGAACTTTAATTTTCTGCACTATTATTTGCAGTTTGCTAAACGTTATTTAACACTTCTGAACTTGTACTCTAGCTCTTACCCTTTTTTAAATTCCTTTTTATCCTTCAAAGTTCAGCTCAGAAATAATTTCCTCAATGAAGCTGTTCTAAAATCACTGTCCCTATCCCTCAAAGTTAATCTCTTACTCCTCTAGACATCACTGACATTTTCATACTATATGTTACCTATTTTTCTCTCTCCCCTATTTGTCTGTGAACTTATCAAGTGCATGGTTATCTTTTCATCTTTGCATCTCCAAGGCATAGCTATTGGCAGAAAGAAAATGATCTTTCTAAATTGCAAATGTGATCACATTACTTACAGGATAAAGTTCAAACTCCTTAGCACAAGGCACAAAACCCTTCATGATCAGGCACTTGCTTATCACAGATACTCTCAATATATGTTGGATGAAATGAGATTGTGAGATGCAACTCCATAAGCAGAACTGTGGTCAACTTTCCCCAGTTTATGTGCTTTGTAATTTATTCATACATATGATAATTAAGATTGACTGAATGTCTGATTCTTTGTAAATATGTTTGGAGACTAAACACCATTAGATAATACCAAGATTGGATTAGGCCTCTCTGATGGCCTTGGGGTTAAGGCTCAGTGTGAGGGTCTAAGTTTGATCCCTAGTCAGGGAGCTAACTCACATGGCACAGCAGACCTCTCCTATTTCGCATGCTGCTCCCCTTAGCAGTGTGTTTCAATAGAGCTGCCTGTTCTGTGCCCCACTCTGTCTCTGGTGAATCCTCTCACCCCCCCACACATCTGGCCTACACCCCAGTTATTCCACACAAAAATAAATAATAAATTTAAAAAAAAAAAATGGATCACTGCCTGAAGCACCAATTTCTCTATTTCATTTGCCTAATAGGCACACAACCTCCAATTTTTCCTAACATTACTTTTCCAGTTCTGATGTAAGTTCTTACAAATAAGCTGTGAGCTATAATCTAATAAGAAAGCATAAGATTCCCAATAACTGTGAAAATTCACACTAGTCACATTTACTATTCACTCTTTCCATTATTTAAGAACTGTAATACTGATATCATCAATGTCATACCAGTGTCTACCCTTTCACTGCCAGGTTAACTATTAAACAAAGTAATTTCTTCTTTACTTACAATTGCACAGTGTGGCATTTTTGAAGGAATTCCATCTTCTTCTGTTGCCCCATTGGGTCCAGGTGCTTCTTTCCTCCTCTTCCTTGGGTTGACTTTGGCTGAATTCTGTGCATCCATCTTCTTTTAACTGGTCATGGAAAGTGAAAAAGAATTTTTCCTAATTGGAATGGAAGAAAGTCTGTCACCAATATTTCAGAGATGTTATATGGATTCACTCAGCAAAAGATCAATTCCATGGCACTTATTTCACCAAGATAAGTCAATATCTGACAAAAACAACAAAGTTTCACAAAACACAGGCTCACAGAAACATTAAAATTCCTCTCTGTGGCGAACAATGGCCACAATCACCTATCTTGGAAATTATTCCCCTTGACCAATACAACCTATATTCTTTTTTTTTTTTTTTTTGATAGAGGCATGCTTTATTTATTTGTTTGCTGGTTTGCTTGTTTGTTTTTTTGTTTATACATGCACTGGGTACAGTCAGAAGCGCGGGAGGGTGAGAGAATTCACCAGAGCCAGAGCGGGGAGCAGAGCAGACAGAAGGACCGAAGTACACTGCTGAGGGGAGCAGCGGGCGGCAGGAGAGGTCTGCGCGCCATGTGGGACCCTCCTCCAGTGGCCGGGGAGCAGCCGGGGATCGAACCGGCGCCGCAGAGGCCGCAGGCAGCTTCGCAACCCAGCGCTCAACCGCTGCGCCACCGGGGAGGCCCACAACCTATATTCTAACTGTTAACTTCATATCTTGACTATATACAAAGCATTGGAACAACTTGGATGAGAAAACTATACAGACTTTGCATACAACTCCTTATACCATTTGTGGGACACCTAAAAAGGTACGGCATTTGGGATGGGAAAAGTTTAACTGCCATCTCCACGAAAGATATGATACAGTGAAAGGTAGAAGAAAAATCCTCAAAGCAGAGGTAGAAAACAAAACAAATACCAGAAAGAATGAGGACATTCTACTCTGCCACACTGGCTCTACTAAGTCCTCCTGAGTAAGATATCATCTAAACAATTACAATATTGTGCTTTATTTTCTTTCCTCCAGCTAAATTCCAAGTGGCAATGTGACAAGATCTAAAAGAAACCTGACCTAATTCTTGGTGACACCCCATGAGTCACGGTTAAGTACTAGGTTGACATGAGAAAAAGTTCAAGTATACAGTGAAAGATGAACGCCACCCAGAAACTTCCTGTCATCACATATGCAAATGAAAATGGAAGATGGGTACTATATATTTAACAGGTCTTTCCAGTGATGATGATCAGAGCTTTTCTTCATTTTTTTATTATCAAGAGGTCAGTACTACTACTCTCATATCATTGGCCTAAAAGGCTTGCTAAGAATGCCTTATTAATACAATTAGTGATCATTTCTAATTTACATACAACAGGATTTTGCTGTTAAATTCTTCTCAGTGTAAGGAGACAAAATCCATTATGAAAAATGTAATCAACATTATCTGATATCAGGCTGCTCAAGGTCAACAGTCAATAATATAAAGTACTTACTATGTACAAGATACTATAACAACATTTTTAAGGAAAAATTAATTTTTCAAGAAGCCTTCAATCAAGGTGAGAGTACTACATGCAGAGTCTAAAAATATAAATATACTGTGTTGTATAAAAAGTTACCCTTGTTTTTAAAAGAAAATAAATGCTGAAGAATCTAGGGATAAAGGGATATGATCTCAGCAAAAAAGAAAAAAGTAGAAGAAAACTATGCATTTATAGGACATAACATAACATAAATGCATTCATTTTAATATTTTTGCAATGTTCCTAAAGACTTTACATTTTTTCAACTAAAAAGTTTAATTTTTAAAACTCTATAACAATTTTCTACACAGATAGGTCCTCATATAAGATTGCCTTTCGCAGTCTCTAGAAACTAGTTCCCGCCCTCTCCTTCCCAACTCTCTAAATCAGTATATATGATAGATATATTCCAGGAAGTATGTTGTAGTAATCTATATGTCTTGCAAGGAATAACAGCAACAGTCATAACAGCAGCTATCTTTTTTTTTCCTTAGTATTTACTATGTGCTAGGCACAGTGCACTTTATAACATTATTTTCATTTAACCCATATAACCTGAGAAGTAGGTATTAATTGGCCCCAATTTACAATGAGAAAACTAAGGATATTATAGAAGGTAAGCAACTTATCCAAGAGATCATACAGCTAGTAAGTGAGAAGTCAGGATTTAAATCCAGACTCTTCTAATTCTAAAATCCTTACCTCTATTTTCTTTTGTCTCCCAGAAATCCAAAATTAAAAAAAAAAAAAAAGTTCTATCATCACTGTTACTGCTGCTTTTGCTTTCAAGAATATTCTATGGCATGGGTCCCTTAAGTTTTTGCAGACTTAAGTCAGTTCATCTTAAGTGAACAGTGGGCTAAAGGTTACTTTGAGGTAAACAAGGTACCAGGACCAATTAAAAAGAACTGATGTGGCTACTGGCCTGGTTCAGAGGCTGCCTGATTTATCAGTTGTACAGATTACAGATTGTTCCAATCTGATACGTTTGCTAGGAAGTTCTAATAAGCTTTCAATTTAAGTTCTTTAATTTCCTGTACTCCCTCTTCTGACACTGCAAATATGTGGTACTTTTTATTCATGACACAAAAAGTAGAATTTTAAAAGTGCCATAATAAATTAAGGGGATAAATATCAGGTCATATTTTTACCAATTATTTTCCATAATTTCAAGTTAAAATCCTTAATATTTAATAGAAAGATACTTAACACATCCAAAAACATGTTTGCTGGAACTTCTCAGGAGTCTCTGTTCTATATATTGTTATTGACATATAATAAACTGTATATACTTAAAGCATACAATTTAAAGAGTTTCGACTTATCTGTATACCTGAAAAATTATCAAAATTATGATAATAAAATACCTACCACTTTCAAGTTTCCTCATGTCACTTTATAATCCATCTTTCCCTCTCCACGCCAACTCTGCTTTGTGTTTTTTGTTTTTTTACATTGTCGTAAAACACACATAACATCAAATTTGCTTTGTTTTTTAACTGCTTACTTCTTAAAGTACTGAACCATCTTCTCACATGATTCAACTTTAACCAACCAAACATACAGTGGATATCATCATACTGTTATAGGGCAGCCCCGATACAAAACGGGGTGCCTGACTGTGGGTCCTCACCCGTGCGCTTAAAAGGACTTATCAATGCTCTACTGCAGGCACACGCGAAAGGTTCATAAAAGGTTTATTTACAAGGGAAGGGCAAATGAGGAAATGTACAGCTCAGGGAGAAAAGTGGGAGACAAAGTTTTAAATGAGTCCTACCCAATCCACCGATCTGGAATCCCAAATGGCACTCTGAGAGCTGGCTGCCAGCCAGGAGCCATGAAGCCAGGAGGCGAGCGACAGAGTGAGCGAGCGAGCGAGCCCCCAAGGCCCACGTGTTTGGTTTTTTTTATACCCAACCTGGTTGCTTAACTCCACTCTCAGGTCCCAGCCACCTTCCCTTTGGTGGTGACGGGATTTGTCTTTCCCAATGTCTTGATGACTTTGGTCTGGAGTGGGGGTGGGGTCCACAAAGCCTGTATGGGATTAGCTCAAAACATCCTTTCCCCCTAACAATACTAGGATGATAGCACAAAGGATCTATCTTCTAAGTTAAAATATTACCTCTATAGTTTTAAAGATATTCTAAAGACAAATATCTGGAGTCTCTAGACCTTGTGACACTGGATCTACTCCGCTAGATTAAAAAATTATACAATGATATAAAAGATCACAATTAAGACTCAAGGCAAGAGAAAGGAACTAACTAGCTATTTAAAGCATAAGTAAAAGTCATAATATAGAAAGAAACAAGGCAGCCATTATTAACACATCACAAACCTCTCTGGTAAATAATAATAATAATAATAATAATAATACATTTTACCTATATTTCAGTCAAGTGCTTACATTCTTTCACAAAATTCTCCATATGCCTCACATTAACATCTCTAATCAAATGTGTAAGGCAGTGTTTCTCAATACTTTTTATCCATGATCCATTTTGGGAAATGTAAAAAATCTTTAACTTTACTCCATCAGCAGTGTATAGTGCTGGGGAAGTCAGACTCCAAAATCAGATTACCTATGTATGAATCCTGTCTCTACCATTTACTAGCCCTGAGAATTGGGACAAATTCCTTAATCTCTCCACGCCTTATTGCCTCCTCTAACAAATGAGATTTAAATTAGATAATCCATGCAAAGCTTTAGGTCAGAGCCTGGCACACAGTAAGTGCTTGTAAATATCAGCTGTTATTTAGTGGTAGCTGTCATCATCAGCCTTAAAGCCTGTATTCTGTGTAATCCCTATATCCAAAAAGATCTTGTTATATTGTCCCCTCCATGATTACTATTATAAAAAGTATACTTTTAAGGTAAAAGTGGGCAAAATATAAAGTATGTGACAGCTCACCCATCCCAACACTATCACATTTAAAATCAGCTGTTCTCATGAAGCTACGTGAGTTACTTAGTTTTACTGGGTTTCTCCCAAGTAGACAGGAGGTAAACATGTTATTGTTAATTGATTTTTGTTATTTTTCTCTTTAAAAAAAAAACACAGGGAAAATATTACCCCCAGTTTCCCTAAAGTTTCAAAAGATATCAGATCCCAGTTAGGACACAACTTTGGTACTGAGAAAGGGTATATGGGAGGATGCGGGCATACCGAAGATAGTCAGTATATCTTTACTTCATTATATGAAGCTGACCTGTATCTAAAACCGCACCACCACCTTTCCAACAGTCACAATGCCCATTTTGTAGCCCTCCAACAATGAGAAATAATACTTCCCAAACTCTCCACCTCTCTAATCAACCAACACCATTCAAGTAAGGGTGCAGTGATGGCTCTGGAAAAGGAGGTTTTAAATATCTGCATTCAAGAGGGAAAAAACACATACACACAGGTTACCTTAGTATCTATTTGTCCAGAGGTTCATGGGGTTGGGAAAAGATACCGTTCAGCACAAGATCAAAAGCAGACTGGAGAGCAGGAAATTGCCTAAAACTTTGTGCAGTTAGATCCTGGCTTCCAGCACAAGACCCTCATTAATTTAAGCCAGGATAAGTAAGATTGAAAGTACCAGTAGTTGGAGAGAGAA